GGGGGGGGGGGGGGGGGGGGGGGGGGGGGGGGGGGGGGGGGGGGGGGGGGGGGGGGGGGGGGGGGGGGGGGGGGGGGGGGGGGGGGGGGGGGGGGGGGGGGGGGGGGGGGGGGGGGGGGGGGGGGGGGGGGGGGGGGGGGGGGGGGACTCTATGGTGTACTTTATTCGAGAGGTAGATTGTTGGGAGGGAGAAGGGAAAGATCATCTGTTTATAAGTAAGAAATATTATCTTCATTAACGTAAGACCTTTTGGGTAAACCAAAAGTAAATCCATGAAAGCTTATGCTTAAAGTGGACAATATCATACTATTGCGGAGAATCTTAGTTCTTAACCTATTGTAGTTTTTATTATTTGTTGAATGCATTGATAGTTGAGTTGAATCACTTCACTATCTATCTTGTTTTAACTATCGATCTCGTTTTAAGATATAAAAGGATGGATGGATTTCAACATTTTCGGTGGTTTCCTAAATATGATTTTCTCCAATGTTTGAGAATTTGGTATGATCTTCCATTTCCATATGCTCTCTATTATCATTGTGCGAAAACTAATCAGAGGTACAACACAGATGAGTGTCCTTATAAGATGTTAGTATTTGGCATGTCAACTGGAGTGCGTTCATGATTGACTCCAAGTTTGTGAGTCCATGGGAAAATTTGATGTTTGCACCCGAAATGCCAATTTCTTTGAGAGGATCTATCACTTATGGATATATTTCTGGGAGATAAGGTCAGCTTTACCTAAGAAATTTATGAGTTATTTTTCTTTTTTTGAAATTTTTTCTTTGAAAGAACATAAATTTGTATGAGAGCGATCAAAGTTCACTACAAATAAGAGCAAGAACATCTTATGTGAGATCTAACGTTAATTAGAGAGGGGAACTAAACATTATTTACAAATGTGTGAAAACCTCTCCCTAGCAAACCCATTTAAAAATTCTTGAGGGGAAGTCCGAAAGGAAAAGCCTAAAGAGGACAATATGTGCTAGCGGTGGGCTTGGACGGTTACAAATGGTGTTAGAACCAGATACTGGGCAGTGTGCTAGCAAGAATGTTGAGTCCCAAAGTAAGGTGGACACCGGACAGTGTGCTAATGAAGATGTTGAGCCCCAAAGGAGGGTGGACACTGAGCGGTGTGCCAGCAAGGACATTGAACCCCAAAAGAGAGTGGACACGAGGCGATGTGCCAGCAAGGATGTTGGGCCTCGTAAGATGGTGGATTGTAAGATTCCACGTTGGTTGGAGAGGGGAACGAAACATTTTTTTATAAAGGTGTGGAAACCTCTCTCTAACTCACACGTTTTAAAAATCTTGACCCCGTAAGATGGTGGATTGTAAGATTCCACGTTGGTTGGAGAGGGGAACGAAACATTTTTTTATAAAGGTGTGGAAACCTCTCTCTAACCCACACGTTTTAAAAATCTTGACGAGAAATCCAAAAAGAATAATATCTACTTAGCATAAGCTTACGCTTTTACATCCATGTCCTAACATAACAAAACAAAACAAGTGAAAGATTACAATATTTGGGCCGTCAACAGAAGAATTGTGGGCTGGGCGTTTCCATGGATTTAGTGGATCAAACCTACACACCACAATGATGTTGCTAAGGAAGGTCCAGCCCAGATATCTTTTGAAATATGTAAACTAACCAACATTTTTGTGTAATAATTTTCATAATACATCCATTTTTCATTTTTGTCCTGTAATATGAAAAGAAGAATGCGCCTGTGACCGCTGTACACTGTTACCCAACTTTGATTTTCGGGTCTGAAGCGTTGAAGAGGCTGGTTTTTGAGTTTTTACCCAACTTTGATTGACTATATCTTACTCATTTCTTTATGGAAATTTATGAAATTTATTTCATTGTGTTCTTGAAATGTAGATCTACAAGTTTGATCAAGAAAGTATTTTGATTTGAGCAGTGGAACACCCAAGACAGAGTCCATAAAATGGTGTCAGTAGTGATGTTAGCAAGGCAGCAACGACGTGAGCGACCGTATTGTCTAACGGTTATGGTCAACAATCAGATTTTGATACGATAGAAATTTGAGTTGATTTTATATTTGAAAAGGTTATCGTACTTTTTACTTGAAATTGAATTGAAAACATGGCATAGAAACATATTATCAAGATTTGAGCATGGAATGAGTTGATTTGATGTATCAAAGCATAAATTAAGCTCCTATCTGAATAAAATTGAACCCTTGACTAGGTATTTATGTTATGGACACTATGTTATGTCTCTACTATTTATGTATTTGATTTTTATGCGGTTATATGAGAGTGATTAAGAGTTCGTCAAATGACCCTAATTGTAAACTTGCCTGGATCGTCAAGTGTCCTGATAACTATAGAATTGACTTATGGTGTATGATTGTACAATGTTGGGATTATTAAAGAGTTTGTCAGTTAGTTTCCTTTTAGTGAGTTTCCTTTTAGTGAATCTGTAACGAGCTGGAAAGGGTCTACCGTTCTACTTTTAAAGTAGGTTGAACTATAACTTGATGATGATTAGCTCATGCGTGCAACTTTTATGCAGTTCGACGGAGACAATTAGGGGCCGCCAACCAGTCCCTAATAGTAAACTTGACTCAATTGCTAGTAGTCCAAATAAATATAGAACTGATTATGATGTATGACTGTACACCGTTGGGATTCTTAAGGACTTGTAATGTATCACTTCATGGAAAGAATCGAACCTAGCCTACTTAAGGACTTGTAATGTACCTCCTTATCTTTCGATATGCCATGAGCTCACGACCCTCACCTCGATTGATAAGATGCAAATTATGATTATACTATCTAGATTGGTAGTCATACGATTTTGTACCGACCACGTGACCTAGATTGGTCTAAGTCGGGAAGTGTCTCAAATTAAAAAAGTTATGACTATGTATTGTGTGTGGAAATGGACTTGCGCTCTATAAATCACCTTGGAAGGGTGAAGGATCACATGGGAACATAGAATCAAGATTTAGCTGCGAGTGTATGAATCTTTCATGAATCTGCGATTATGAACATTAAGGAACTAGACTCATGGTACGATCAAGAGCTTATAAGACCACCATGAAAGAGTCATTGATGCAAACCATGAGAGAACATCCTTATGGACTCAATGAGCGTCAAAAGGAGGGAATTGGGACAAACCTCAGTGACGTTGCACAAAGATATACGAGCCCATACAGTATTGAGAAGAGTACGACACGAGAGCAAATTTTTGCTAGCAATGTGTGATAGAGAAACTAAACTGTCGCTCGATATTGGTCACTTGATAGGTAGAGGAACATGACAGAGTACATAAATCGATGTTCGATATTTTTAAATAACCATGTCGGTTTTACAAGAGATCGATAAATATATATAAATACAGTGTATCCTACCACATAAAACCATATCATAAAATCCAAAAATTTCAAATTTGACGAAATTATGTTGGTGGTTAGGATTTTACAAAGTGTGGTTTGAATAATGCCTTTAAATACTCTGTTTCCTCATCTCCCAACGCATACTCTCCATTCTTCTCTGCAGCCCCTCTCATCGATCAGCCATCATGATCCATAGAACTCTCTTCCCCCGCTCTTCATGGCCTCGTTCTTGCCTTTCTTCATCCTCTTTCTCTAAGGTTTGACAAAACTTTTCAATTCTTTCTTTCTTTTTTTAAATTACTCTTTTTGTGTACATATCAACGATCTCGTCATGATCTTCTCTTGTCGAGAGTTTTCGTGAACGAAGCATCCATATGGTTCCGTGATCTAAATCTTGATTGTATCTTTTTGATCGAGTCTGATTTGTTTTCTCTTCCTAAAAATGAAAAAGAATGCGTTTTTTTATCATCGTTAGAGATGTCTGTAGAACAGGGTGAGGTGGTAGAAGATTTTTTTTTTTTTTTTTTACGAAAATGTTTTTTTTTTCAAATAATATAATTTATATTTTTCAATATAATTTGAAGGACAGACAATTTTGGGAGTGTACGAGGTTGTAGTTTCAGTAAACTTGTCATCATCGAAAAAGTTAAAAGAGTTGCCAAGGTAGGTTAACATTAGTCCACTCTTTGCAATAAGACAGCAATTTAAATGGACACCCTTTTTTTTAATTGTTTGAACTTCCTTGTATGGCAAATTTGTGTAGGAATTTGTTCCATTTCAATAAACCCTAATTCTCTTCTTATTTTAATCAAAGCTTTACATTTCTGTAAAATGCTTCAACAAAGTACACTTGATAATACTTTTCAGAATCGCAATTTCTTTCTTCGAAATTAAAGACATTCTGATGTTAGGTTAGGTTAGGGATGAGGAATTAGAGCTTTGATTTGGGGGAAAATCTTTCATTTATTTGAAACCCAAATAGTTTTGAATCTTTTGATAATTGCAGCTTGGAGGCGGCTGCCATGGCGATGCGTCTAGGGCTGTATCTTCCATGCCGGAACCTTGCCGGTCATCGCCTTTCAGGTACTTCTAATTCCACATATTCTTGCCGGTGTCTTATTAGTTGTTCAAAGACTGAGAAATTGGCTCTCAATTTGGCTTTGGTTTGATTTCAGCGATGATGAGAGCCGTGATATTGATTGGGATAGCCTTGGATTTGGGCTGTTGCCAACAGATTACATGTATGTTATGAAATGCTCTGAAGATGAGAATTTCGAACGAGGTCAGCTGAGTCGTTATGGGAACATTGAGTTAAGCCCTGCTGCTGGGGTTCTAAATTATGGCCAGGTATCTTCAACTTCCAGTTTCTGATCCTTGTTTTGATTTGGTTTGGTTCTGAAACTGTAAATTTTGTTTAGTTTTGAGGATTGGATAGCTGAGATTCATTGTTTACGCATTTTCCATGTATATGATTGATTATGCATACAACCTGTTTGACGAAATGCCAGACAGAGTTTTAAGGCATGGTTTTGATGATTTGAACAGGGATTGTTTGAAGGTCTGAAAGCATATAGGAAAGAAGATGGAGGCCTTCTTCTCTTTCGTCCGCACGATAATGCTCTTCGTATGAGGACCGGTGCCGAACGAATGTGTATGCCGTCGCCCTCTGTCGAACAATTTGTTGATGCTGTGAAGCAAACTGCCATTGCTAACCGGCGTTGGGTTGTCCTCTCTTTTGAGCTGTGATGCAAACTGTTGACTTTGGTTTGTTTTTCATCCTCATGATTGATTTCACTTGCAGGTCCCTCCGTCCGGGAAAGGATCATTATACCTGAGGCCCTTGCTCGTCGGAACTGGTCCCGTTCTCGGCTTGGCTCCGGCACCTGAATATACTTTTCTTGTTTATGCTTCCCCTGTTCGCAACTATTTCAAGGTGGGACTTCTTTCAATGAAGCTAATTTCTGTTTACATCAAAAGTGCATGATTTATCTATCTACACGTTCTTGGTTTCGAAAACAGGAAGATTCAGGAGCCTTGAACCTATACGTCGAGACCAAGTTCGATCGTGCATCTCGTGGTGGAACTGGAGGTGTGAAAACCATCTCAAATTATGCTCCAGTAAGTGAATAATCTTTGCTGCTGAGCTCAGTTTTTAACTCAATCTTCTGGTGGAAAATGGCATAACTTTATGATGTTGTCATCTCTGTAGGCTTTAAAAGCTATCACCAGAGCCAAAAGTAGAGGCTTTTCTGATGTCTTATATCTTGATTCAGTGAATAAGAGAACTCTGGAGGAAGTTTCTTCTTGCAACATTTTTCTTGTCAAGGTATCTTTATTCTTAATCGACACGAAGCGTTCGATAGATTTATTAGCTTTGATTAGAAAAAGTACTGACGAACTTGTGTGATAAATGATGATCTGATGATGATGATTGTAATGCAAAGATTTTCCATTTCTATAGGGAAATGTTATATCAACTCCTGCTACAAGTGGAACGATTCTTCCAGGAGTAACCCGGAAAAGCGTCATCGATATAGCCCGTAATCGCGGTTACGAGGTGATTATCAAAACAGTTTGATTTTCCAGCTGCCATATACTTATCCTTATACATTTTCAGGTTGAGGAACGGGCTATCGACATGGATGAACTGTCCGACGCTCGTGAAGTTTTCTGCACGGGAACTGCTGTCGGTGTGGCCCCTGTTGGCAGCATCACTTGTCTGGATAAAAGGTAAACTAACTAACTGCTAATTACCCTGCCATTCCTCCAAATAGTTCGATAACTGAATTACATTGGCAGTAGTACAAGTGTTGTCTAGTTTATTGGCAAGTTTTGACGAATTTGTATTGTAAATTCTGCAGGATTGAGTACCAAACAGGTGCTGGGACAACATGTCAGGAACTATACTCAACTCTTGTTGGGATTCAAACTGGAACCACCGAGGATAAGATTGGCTGGACTGTTGAGATCTCTTAAGTTTTCATTTCGCCTATTGATATGAATCATAAATTGTGTGTCGCATGTACGATTGTTTGCTCAAGAGCAAATTTTCATGATATCCGATTGTGAGAGGAGGAAGGTATGAACCTCTCTCAAATTTTGATGAATTAATGTGGGACGAAGGTATGTATCTCTCAAATTTACATGATAATAACGAGCACTGGGTTTTGATTTATCTATTTTTTTAGCAATACCGAATTGGGTTCTTTTCCTACCCGTAGTGAATAGAACATGCTGAACCAAATCTTCTTCCGGTAAAACTTGCTTTATTTAGATCGGAAAAATTGTATGGTTTTATGAACTCGGTGTGATATAGCTCGAATTGTGGTCAATCCTATTTCCGATAGGAGCAGTTGACAATTGAATCCAATTTTTCCCATTATTTTCATTTTCGTATCCGTAAATATAACATTGGCTAAATTATAAAAGTTATCCATAAACTTTAATTTTAGTTTAATTTAATTTAATTTAATTTATTATTATTTAATTTATATATTTATTTATTATTATTATTATTATTTTTTTTTTTTTTGTAAGTTGTCAAACTGTATATGATATTTCATAAATTTTTAAAACTACAATTGAGGTAGAAATTTATTAGAATAGTAAACGAACATTAATCTTGAGATAACTTGGAACGATGTATAGTGACTACATCGATTGCATAGATTAAATCTAAAAAATGAAATTTTGCCACATCGACGTTTGGTCTAATGTTCTAATGAATAAAGATATCAATCACTATAGTGCTATCGTTCTCGTTCACGAAATTTTTCCACATCGATAGAAAAGATTGGTAGTATCGTGGGTTCAATAAGAGTATTCGTGGTCATGCTCAACAAGGAAAGATTCCGAGCAGTAAGTAGCAGTTGGAGAAGATGTGTTGGCCATTGTCAAAGGAGTTTGGAGGACAAGTAGAAGAGAAATGAAAAAAACGGAGAGGAGAAATCAAAACTAGAGGGAAATCGAGCTAGGAAGATAAACTCGTGAATCGGTTTGAACTCGAATTGGAAAAGTCTTCGGTACATTGAGCCACCGCAGCCCAAATCCCTTCACATTTCTCTCAACATGTGTGTTTAAACTAGGATACAAACGACCTAACCCATGTTGTCTTTGGGTTGAATGTATCAGTAATATTGGTTACAAATGTTAAATATTGGAGAAAGTGATACGTTAAGTTGTATTTGGCGGCCTTCTTTATATCTAATCTAATATAATATAATATAAATTGTTATGGTCCTTTCACTTTCCAAATAATTGTGATTATTATTATTTATGAACCTTTTTCAGCTTTTACCTCAGGGGTTTGTTTGAGCCTCTTTCAATTATTTTTTTCTTCCCTGCTTTTCTCCTCATAATTATTTAGCATTCTCCCTTTCTATAGGAATGGATTGATCGAGTCTCGAGTTAGGTTTGACATGTTCTTTGACTCGTCGATAGAACCACACAGACTCCAAAAGAATACGTTGTTAGGTTCGAGAAGTCATCATTGCAATAGTCGTTGCTAGTTTGCCTCCAAAAATTCTGTCACGAGTTATTGTTCTAAAATTTCGTTGAGATCCCAGATCGAATTTTGAAGCATTTGTATTTTTACTTAGAGTCTAGCAGTCAATCATGTTACAAAAAGAGAGTAATTAACGTCCCGATTTAGGTTTAAAAAATGTAACCCTAAGTTCGACCCCAACCTAATTGAATGAACAAAGATGAAAGTCCATTTATAGAATTTATTAGGATGAAAAGAAAAAGAAAAAAGAGGCAACCAAGTCAAACCAACTTTGAAGCTGCTAATAATTACTCAAATTGTCTCATTTATGATCCAATAAGTTTGAGTTTGAAAGTTGGGTCACACTCTTTTCAAAAGATGATTGAAACACAACCACACAACAATAAAATAATGCAATTCATGGATTAAACTCTAATAAGATATATACTCATAACGCTCTTCTCGAAGTTAAAACTACAAGAAATAATGAATATGATAGCTTACGAAAAATACTATCATAGACTTTTTATAGTGTTCTTCGTACGTCGTGACAACCCATGTTATTAAAAGTCCGAGACTTTTTATAGCGTTTTTTTATAAGTATAATTGATATAATAGAGTATGAAACTATGAAAATATTTTACAACATTTTTATTAAGCTATAATATGTTTAATATAACTAAAATTATGTGCTATCTTTAGCGGTAATATAGTATTTATAACATCAATTTTTTATCTTATAAGTGGTAAAGTTTAGGAATTTACTTTAGCTTTAAATAGAACTAAAAAGAAAATTTGTAACGACCCTATTTTTTTTTTTTACTAGAATCGCTACTACATGTTGATAGTAGTCTAGAAGTTATTGTTGTAAACGAACTTCGTGAGATGCAACTTAGAGTCCTAACTGCCAGCAAAATCCAATACACAAGCACGCAACTGTACTTTAAGTTCTTTCAGTTCTATTGGTGTTATGCGGTACGGGGCCTTTGGAGATAGGGCTAGTACCTAGTTAGAGCTCTATACAATAGTCTACCACTTGGAAAGGGTGTACTTTTGGTAAATCCTCCAAAAATACATCTAGAAACTCATTCGCCACTGGCATTGTAGACAAACTTTTCTTTCTTTTTTGTATTTACGGCGCTAATACAGGTGTCCTTGAACTTAAAACTGGTTCTTGAGGGTGGTGAAAAAAAAATACTTCTTTCCTATGATAATCATTACTAACCTTGTCCTATCTATCTTGGTATTACGTCAAAAATAGTCATATTAACAACTATTAGAGTTATGTCTAGTGTTTGTCCCGATACTAACACTTGACCACCTTTCACTCTATCTCGAGATCAAGTCTACCCCTCCTACCATACCAACTGAATTATGTTTGACTAGTAAATACAATATAAAGGAATTCATAAATTATGAATCAAACGAAATTAGAATAAGATGCCCCAGAACCGACAAAGTACATGTCACCATTGTGTTAGAGTTTATGACGTCGGAGGTGTATGCTCTTGCTTGGGAGTGGGTATGCATAGGCCTCCCGCTACTGCCTAGGCATCTTAGCTGATTAACCGGATTCTCAATACTCTCTCCTAGATAGTTCATGACAATATGACCCTCTTGACCTCACCTAAAGCATTCTCTACTTGACTATCGATCATGACTTGGGTCTCCACAATATCTATCAGCCTGTTGTGAATGTTATACTGGTGGTTGACAGTACAATTCTATCTAGTCATAGCGTTGCTTCTGTTCTACTATGGTTGTCGATGTTGTTAGCCCTCGGTGTTCTCTGGCCCTAGCTCTCTCCATAGCTTTATTCATAGACTCGTTATGTTATTAATGAATAAAGGTTTAACTTGTATGCCAAGATTTTAAGTCTTAGGGACCACATGCATTTTTGTGTGTCATATGCATCAGAATACTTCCTTGGTATGATTAGTATGGTTGCATACTTTATGACATTTATGTTCGCCATGATCTTATGTGGGCCCTTTCCCTCTATGACGTTTGGTAGCCTATTAGCGAGTGCTATTTCGATGAGTCAGGTTTACACGTACGTATACGAGCTCGCCTAGTGGGTCCATGTGTGCATGCATGAGTCGTGTGTAGGAAAGTACTACACATCCAACCCTGTCTGGAGTGTAAAGCATAGCTCAAGGTCATGTCATGATGTTTTAAAAATGATACATCTCACCATATTGCATGTGTTTGCATTTTCCAACCAAAACAACTTAGTATTTCTTAAAATACTCAAGACACATGCTACTCTGTATGGATGACGACGTCGTGATGAAAGCCATGAAACTAGAGTTAGGGTAGTCACATTCATGTATGTTTGTTAGCCCTCAGATTAGGTCACGACTTGTTTTATTTCATATTTAAATTTATGTTAATTATATTTTGCCTCTTTATTTTTATGACAACGTTGTTTTAAAGTATTTATTACAAACGTCACCGTTTATGATACTTTTTATGAAATATTTTAAATGAATATTTTCTACTCGTATTAGTTATATCTAATTTTTGTATTAGAACTTTCATAATAATTGAACCTTTTTTATTGGTTTTGAAAGGTCGTGGGATGAAGTCTTGTTGGTCATTTGGTGAGCTACCAAGATGGAAAACATAAAAGCAACAAGTTTCCACACAATTTCAATATGAGTTAGTAGGTAATGAAGTGACTTTAAATCCTCCTCCATCTTTCTAAGTTTCTACAACCCTACACCTATTACTTAGCTACACACTCTTAGGGTTTCGATTACTTGCATATCTCATTCGACCATCTCAAAAGCTCAATTAACTCAATCAAATTCAACTCGGGTTATGAACTTATTTAGGTTGGATTGAGTTTAAATAAATGAAAACTCTTTGCTTTCTGCTCGTTTATGAATTCCCAAAAACTAGATCGGTTGAAAAGAACCCACCAAAATTTATTATTAATTTTTCCAGTACAATTATATATACATTACATGTATTTATTTTATTTTTATTTAATTTCATGATTAATTTTTTATTATTCTCCGACAACTCTTACAAATAATTTTAACGATTTGGAAGATAATTTTTTAAATACGATCCAACATTTTATTTTTATTAAAAATAAAAATTTAAATAAATGTCTAGAGCAACCAGAACCAATGTGACCCAAAAAATTTATGATTGAGTTGGATTAGGATGAGTTCATTATTTAATAAACGTTGTTTGGGTCGAAAAAATTTAACTGGGTCTAAACCCAACCCACGAACACTTTATATTCGGAGTTTTCTCTTTCTTCATTAAAGGAAAAGTAGGGAAAATACTTTGGTTTCAATTATATAATGTTGTAATACACAAAACCCTTCATTATTTTATCATCTAAACTTAATTATGTTAGTAGACATCACATGTTCTTTTCCAACACATGGATTTCTTTTTTTTTTTTTTTTATTTCTTTTTTAAATTAGGATTTTGATTAGAAGTAAAAAAGAACATTAGTTCCTAATTAGAGAATAATGTCTCATTTAGAATGTTGCATTTTGGATAAAGAATCTATGTACTTTAGGATCAAATTAAATTTTTAAAAATTAAACATCTAACTCGATGTAACACTTTTGTATATTTGAATTAATCATTATTGATTACTATAAAAGTAACAATCAGTTAAAGTAGAAGTATAAAAATCTAAACGTACTAAAAAAAAATAGTAAGAAGTTTGAGACTCACGACGATATGTAACGAGCCAAAACGGACAATATCTACCGACAGTAGGCTTGGATAGTTACAAATGATATTAGAGTCAAACACCAAGCAGTGTGCCAGTTAGGACACATTGGGCTCTCAAAGAGGGTAGATTGTGAGATTCCACATCAGTGCTAGCGGTAAACTTGAGTTGTTACAAATAGTATCAGAGGCAGACACCGGACGGTGTGCCTATGATTTATGATGACACTGGATCCTCAAGGGGGTGGATAGTGAAAACTCACGTTAGTTGGAGAGGAGAACAAAACTTTTCTTATAAGGGTGTAGAAACCTCTTCCTAATAGATAACGTTTTAAGAAATCATGAGACTAACAATGATACTAGTTGGGCTGAATTCAAAAGCATTTCTAAAATACTTTTTAACCTAAAAAAAGAAACTTAATGACATTTTGGTCGGACTTTTTGGTCAAATTGAGGTATTATTACATGTGGATTCTACTTTTTTCATATAAAGTTCGTAGAATGTTGTTTCAAACAGCTTTGTCCCAACTCCCAAAATACGTATTTTTTTAATATAATAACAAAACCCTCTACTTTTCCTTCATTTAATTTCTCATTGCATTATGTCACACCCTTTTTTCTCTCTTTTTCAGTTTAATATTCAATCAGATAGCTTTTTCAGCGACCAACAAAACCTTTTCTCTCTAATTTCTTTGATTGTGGATTAGGAGAGAGGGAAGAGAGAACCATGGGGAGAGCTCCTTGCTGTGACAAAGCCAGTGTCAAGAAAGGCCCATGGTCGACTGAAGAAGACACCAAGCTCAAGTCTTACATTGAGCAACATGGAACTGGTGGGAACTGGATTGCTTTGCCTCAAAAAATTGGTAAAAATTCAATCTTTTTCATCTTGTTCTTCTTGATTTGATTCAATTTCTTCTGGGGTATCTGTTTTTTGGAGTTAAAATTTAGCCCTTTAAACGAAATTAGGCCTAAAGAGATGTGGAAAAAGTTGTCGATTGAGATGGCTAAATTATCTCCGTCCGAACATCAAGCATGGAGGTTTCTCCGAAGAAGAAGATAGAATCATTTGTAGTCTCTATCTTAGCATTGGAAGCAGGTAATTTTGTTTTCTGCAATCAAATCCCAAATCCTTCATTTTAATTAGGGTTTGAGTTTCGAGAAAAAAAAATCAATTCTAAGGGTTTGGTATGGAATAGGTGGTCTATAATTGCAGCACAGTTACCAGGAAGAACGGATAACGACATAAAGAACTACTGGAACACGAGGTTGAAGAAGAAGCTATTTGGGAAGCAAAGGAAAGAGCAGCAACAACAACAACAGGCATCTCGTCGAGGAAACGCCCTAAGGCATCACGGGACGGTGAATAAAAGCAATAGCACCATTCCTTATTGGCCTCAGCAGCAGCAGCAGCTCCCAGTGGCACCAAGCTACTATAACAACAACAACAACATGGCATCATCTGACCATATCAACCCAATTGAGAAATTGAGCAAATTTGGAGCTCAATTTATGGACGAAAGTGTGTACAACAACAATGCAAATGGGTATGGAAATGCGTATTATTTTCCATTGCTTCAAGGGCAAAGCAGCACCCAAATGGTGGATCTTGAGAATTATGACATGGGGTTTGATGATCCAAGAAGGGTTTTGTGTGGATTTGAGTTTGTGTATGGAGATCATCATAATCAGATAATGGGTACTAGTAATAGCCATGGCTATGAAATGGGGCCTCTTATTTCTTCTTGCCCTTCAAATTACGAAGCAATGCTGCAAGATTTGTCAACCACGACTCAAGAATATGATACTCACTTGAAGATATTGGATAGCAATGCAGTATGATCCATGGTGGGCGTAATGTAAAGTAATAAAAATGGACTCTTTTTGGCCGTAGTGATTTGGAGGGTGACAATAAGAATATAACTAAGATTATTATGTTTATTGTTCTTTTTTTTTTTTTTTTTTTTTTTTTTTTTTTTTTTTTTTTTTTTTTTTTTTTTTTTTTTTTTTTTTT